TACAAAGGTGGATCACACCAGTCTCAAGAACCTCGTTGAGAGCGTCAAACGGAAAAGTGCAGCGGCCGACCAGAGTGGATTTGGGAAGCGGCGTAAGCTGTAGTCTCGACCCTCGATTTATTCTACATTTGTCTGGCAGTCTGTCGGTGAGAATCCTACGATGAGTACCCGGTGTCGTGATATTTGTCACACGAGGGGCGTAGCTAAAAGTCATTCGTGCTTCTCACCCAGCCCGATTCGTGCTCCAGGATGTCCCGGCGGACGACTTCTTCTGGATTCCACTTATTTTCCCATTCACGCATACCACAGGCAACACGGCGATAGTATAATCAATGCAAATTTATGCAAATTTTCCGCAGCGCACTTCCTACGGCTTCCTGACGATAAGTAGAGGTCTCGAGCGCATGAGGCAGCGTGAATTAGTGCTCGTTACTTTGCTTCTCCGTGTCTCATCACGTCTTTCATAAAATTTAGATCTAGATTTTGCTTTTTGATAAAGCCCCTGACCGTCACACCTGGCCTATCCAAGGGACGTAGACCTACTGCCAGGTCAGTGTATCCCATTCGCGTCATGCGAGTGACGAGTTGTCTGATAGGCTGTGATCCTCCATCTTGATCAGTCTTAGCCTAGCGGTAAACGTGACAAGACAGAAATCTGTTGTAGGTTCGAAACCTGTTCAACTATTTTTTTAAATTTCCTTTTACCACGCCTTGAACATTCACTCAATGGACGGATCCCCTTCAAGATCTATCTTAAGTAGTAATAGCTAACCGTCACCAGAACAGATTAGAGATCTTGGGTTGTGCAGATTCAAAACCTGCCGACAAATGTCTAATCACACCTTGATATTCACTCATGGACAGTTCTTCAGAGGTTCAAATCTCAACTTGCGAAGCGTCCTGGCCAAAAGTGATTACCACAACAGAATCAAAATCCGTTTCCCCGGACCGTGCAGGTTCAAAACTTACCGAATAACTGGTTTTTTTATATCAGAACATGCCTTAAAGATTCGCTCATGGATGATTTCCTCGGAGGTTCAACGTTCAACATCTCAACTTTGTCCTGGCCCAAGTGGTTACCACAACTGAATCTAAATCTCTTGGATTGATAGTGCCGGTGCGGGTTCGAAACCTGTTGATGATAAGTTTTTTTCTCTATCGGAGCACGCCTTGAAGGTTCACTCATGGATGGTTTCCTTGGAGCTCAACTGGTCTCATAGCCAGGTGGTTGCCACAACAGAATCAAAATCTGTCAGACATGCCGACACAACAACAACGTTTTTTTCTCTATCGGAACACGCCTTGACATTCACTCATGGATGTTTTCGTCGGATCTTCAGCTAACTGCTCTTAGCCAAGTGATCACCACAACAGAATCAAAATCTGTTTCTCTTGAACTGCGCAGGTTCGAAACCTACGGAACGACAGGATTTTTTTCCCCATCGGAACACACCTTGACATTGACTCATGGATGATTTTCTGGGAGGTCCATCTAACTGGTCTTAGCTGATGGCTCGTTCGCCCTCTTCATCTCACTCGCTTCAAGGGAATCCAGCACGATCTCACGATGAACACACCGTGGTCGCAGGTCATACATGGGTCACCTCGCCTCTGTTCGATTCCATGTTTGGGTCCGGGGGGATGACGTCGATGATGATAACGATGAATTGCTGGCACGTGGCTTAAGTATCTGCAGCCACTTATGAGGTTATTGATTTCTTCGCTGCAGACATTAATATTGTTCCCAAATCAAGATATGGATCAGGTCGAACTTCTCGAAGCTATGATTGAGAAGGGCATGGAGATGACGCAGGAGTCAGGACTGTCTTGCTATTTTCTACCCTTCGAAGCTCCGACACTTTGACATTCTATTGGCACCATCTGTTGGCGTTACCCGGTACCGCTCATGGTACAGCTTGTCCACTTGAACCACCTCCGCACTTAACCACATTTTGCAAGATCGCAATGACGCTGCAGCTAGGAACCCCGTCAGATATTCGTTCCGACTGCACGCTCAAGAATAGTCTGGAAGCGGGTCTTCAACCCTGACGGTAGTAGAAGCAAGAGCAGACGCAGTGATACCAATACTACGTAGACATCTCCGTAGGCTCGTCAAATTCTGTAAAGGCAACTGTCCTTCCTAAATCAATGTCATGCAGCTACTCTGATCTCCCTACCCCGCCAGATCAAACCCATATATATTCTCGAAACTGACCTCCAATTGGCGGTTATCTAAGCCATGTGTCTGTTCGACCACTGGCGATGATGGGAAACATTAGTATCGCTTGGTCCTATGAATATTTGATGTTGGACGGAGCAATGCGCTGGATGCTTACAGCTTGGTGGCATTCTGCGATGCAATCAAAAATGCCAGCCTACACCATCAGGCTTACACACAAAGAACAGTGACAGCATGGATTCACCGTTCACGTTCACTGAAATTAATGAAATCGAGCATAGAAGGAAATGCAACCTTCATCAGAGCAGAAGTCCCTCTTTGTACAGATGAAGACCGGTCGCTCGCCAAATCATCGGATACCACGCGGACTTTTGGTACTATGTTTAAGAGTAGGAGGGGGAGAAAGCTTTGCTATGAATGGAAACGAAGGACGAGGTTTGGTAGCGAGCGTCGTTAAGCGCGTGTCAATGGCAGCCTGAAGAACCTCAACTATGGACTGCGCACCGGTGGCTGGTTCATAAACGCCGGGGGTATCAAGAGGGGAGGGGTATGAAGAATAGAGTCTGGCGAAGAAGAAGAATGTGCTAGTATTGAGGGTTATAATAAAATTCGACTTGACCAAAGCGAGTGAGCCTTGCGTTAAACCACTGAGAGGTAGGGCTCGTTGTTGATGGCATGTGATGGGCATAGTCTGTGATGGGATAGAGGGTATAAAGTCAGGTATATGTAAGATGACAGGTGAGGCCTTGAGGGCACGCGGTCACTGCGGGGCTGTATATATTATAGAGTTGAACAGCCCTAGGGAAAAGTAAGTACAGGTGTACCTGTGATGCGGCGTTATGACTAAATCTGGTAGGGTAGGACTAGTACAAGCATACTTGCATCTGTGACTCCCACACATAGTCCATCAGAGAACTGATGAGTTAAGCTTCAACAAGGGCCTGCCTTGGCCTGCTGTGAAGGGCTTCATCGGATACATTAACTCCCAATGAGTGTCCAGTGTCACGAGAACACATGTTGATGAATGGATCTTGAACGGTCTTTAAATTTAATCCTTCATAAGTCGTCCTTTAGGGTGTGTTACGTTGATTGCGGGGCCTTTACGTCGTAATATATGGTTTTATTTTAGTCGAACAAAATACCCAGTACTAGTGTTGTTTGTCCAGCTCCATAAAGCGGTGAGACGAAAAATGGAATCCGGTTTATCGACATGAAAGTAGCTGTAAGACAACATAACTTTCTCACCAGTCTTCCGATGCTGGCAAGTCCGAGGGTGCACCTCTGTCTCACACACATGTTACAAGTCCTGTACGATTCATCGATGAGTCCGATCAAACCCTATGATAGCGGGTCTCCTAGGGTCTCGCTGACCAACTACTACATGCTGGATACCACTCAGTCATACCTCGATCTCACTCATGTCCGAATCCATCGATTGATCAACTGCATCGAATAAACTAGGGTAAACCACACTGTAAATAGAGGAAAATTTCCGTTAAGTATTGCAGAGTGGCTGATCAAGTGGTATGAGAAGTATGACATTGATAAGTGACTGTCAGCAGTACTACGTATCCGGTAACAAGCTATACATAGCCTTACCAGGCCTTACCTGGTATACATATCCTCACCTAGCCTCACCTAATTATAAAGGAGGGACTAGTACAGGCGTACTTGTACTTAATCAACGGATCATTGATTTATCAATTATGGATGCATGATTGACGTCGGATCAATTCTCTTCGGGCAGGTTCCGTTAACCTTTGACCGGAAGTGACAAAAACCGCTTCCTTGCTTCCTGAGTATACGTATATTCCTCCTCCGTTTGACAGCAAGTGAGTACTGCCTCGGATATGCGCATTCATTCATATTGTCACTGGTGGCAAAGATGCCACTAGTGCCTCGCCCAAATGTTTAAATGCCCTGCGATTATAAGACGAGTCAGGACACTCGACTTGCCCATTTGTCCGCTTACACACTCTTAACACTCTGGTGAGCTGGGCACCTGTCTCCAGACAACAACTGAACCACCGCTGACCTGCAGTACAACAGCCTGTCCTCGCAATCAATCACCAGCTCCTCCCCCCGACGACTCACTATCATAATCATGCCTCTTGATATCATTCCCGTCACGGTGGATCCACAGACCTTGCTTCGAATGGAGCAAAGCGGTCAACCCCTTGTCGTATACGAATGTGGATTACAGGGGACACCCTGCGGAATGTGTCTGGAGGGAACGAGTAGTGCAGTGTCTGCCCACCTCCGTAGACACGGTGTCACTGGTCCGGACAGCACCGTCACAACTTGTACCTGGGGCGGCTGCCACAAGACACTCAAGAAATGCAGCATGGCAAGGCACATCCTTGCTCACCTCGGTATCAGGGTGCGCTGCTCCACATGCGGAGTTGTGAAATGCCGTCGCGACCTTCTTCGTGCACACATCAATTCCTCAGAGCCATGTCATTTCGCAATAGCCGATAATATTCCAGGACCCGGAGGATATATCATCGCCCCCACAGGTTGGGCCGCTGCCCATATGCATCAAGTTTGGTCCTTATGATGCCTGGTATGTAAATTGATCTTTTTTGTGACCAATACTATTTACACTAGTCAGATTTTTTCTTTTCACAAGGGAGTCCGAGAGATGTGGCTCTGTACCCTGCATGGTGACATTCCTAGACGGAGGACTGATTAGTTGTAGTTATATGTTCAATATTTAGTAGTGAAATTTTTGTACGAACGAAGCTTAGACAGAGTGACCAGTCCCTTGCAGGTCAAGTACTCGTTTGAAAATTCTCGATTCCCAGAAGTTGCGTCGCTTAAAGGTACGAGCAATGTTGCTCCTTCAAGCCTGACCCCAAGGAACCTATCTTCATTAGTTCGAACTTCCAACAGTTATTCTTTCGCTGATGCTGGTCTCTGGAGCAATATTAACCCTACTCGATTTCGTCAGTTTATTTTCTGAGCGTACAGGACGTTTCCAATAAACTGCGATAAAAAGGTTTGCGTGCGAAATATTAGCCTTGCCGAGAGACTGCCGCGAAGGAAAACTTATGGAGCGCGATAACTCGGTGCATCGACGACGTCAGCGCCAACGGAGCAAGAGAGAATCCACAATGAACCTCTTGGTAAGTGAGAGCTTCTGCTGCCCATGTTCGCCCTAGTATAGTCACTCAGTACGCATGCTCGATATCGGTAAGTTTTTGCTTGTAATATTCTTTGCACTTTGTCGGCTCGGCACACTCAGTGCACTCCGACATCTTCACGAGATACCGCCGGCTTCGGGTGCTATTGTGTCTATCACGTCATGCTATGTTGCTGTACGTTCAACCAGTTCTGTTTCCTCTTTGCGGTTCTTTCCTCACTACTATGGCGACCTCTGTTTCATTTCACGGCGCTGTTGGACCACAAACTTCGACAACACCATCGACTTTCTCTTCCCAGCAATTCTCGAAGACGCTATGTCTTGATCGTGCATTCCTTTCCTCTCTCAACGTCTATGTCGATGGTCTTTTAACGACAAAATTCTAGACGAATTACTGGGCAATTTTCGCAAGTATCGCAATTGGTATCAATCACACATTTCACTCACAAAACCATGTAGTGTCTTATTTTAGTTCAGACAGCCTGAAAGAAGCTGAGCAGACTCCATTGAACGCACCAGATTCCAGAACACACTATCTGGCAATGTTAACTCATCCTGGAGTATGTAATCTCTCGGTAGAAATGGGATTGGTTAGAAGCGCGCGTGCGTGCGTCGTCGCTTTCTCCAAGTCCAACTTCTCAATACATTTGAAAGCCACTGACTGCATCCCCCGCATTCTATACAAACCGTTTCGTCATGGACAGTGAATCGAAGACAGTTTCCTCTGCGACACGCATATGCAACTACATTTAATGGATGTTAAGGTTTGACGCTAGCGTAAACCGTGCTCGACCTCCGGGCTGGATCATCCCTTTGATTGTGCACGGCGTTGTCGAGAGTGAGAGACACTGTCTATTTGCAGAGACGATGCCAATATGGTATTTCCTGAGTTGCTACTGTAAACACTGTATATTGTCGTAGAGCCGACCGAAGGGGAGTCCTCGTCTGAAATAAGCAAACTGGCAAATAATAGACGTATCCATTCGACAAAGGCCCTCCTCCACTAAGGTGGGAGTCGGAGGTACCATACAACAATATTAATCAACTCGAACATAGAATTCGCATGTGAATAGCATGCGATTGATAATTAAAGGGCCAGTAATTATAAGAACCCTCAATTATTCCCATTCCCATTCCCTACAAACCCACTACCCCCATTCAGACGGTTATATTTCGCGAGGACACCGCCAGCCATCAACGCGCCCTTGACAAATTGCTTTGCGAGCATAGTTTTGTTTAGACTAGCACCAGCACTTGGAGGCTGTTGACCAGTGGGACTCTGTTGCGAGGTTCCCTGGGCATGATATTGTGCGGGATGGACGGAGTATCCCGCCTGGGATTGGGGCGAATAAGCGTGGTGAGGGGCAGTGCTGTAACCGTGGTTCACAGCATACTGGGTTGGTATTGGCGGACCCTGCGAAGACATGGTATAAGCGGCGGTCCCGAAGGAGGGGTAAGTGGCATGATTCATATGTGGGCCCTGGGTATGAGATGTGTGAGAGCTTTGTGGGGACGCGTGAAGGTGAGAAAGTGGATGTGTGCCCTGCTGAGAAGCAGGATTTACAGATGGGTAATGTTGTGAGAACGGTGTGGCAGTGGGTGGCTGAGCGGTTTGAGATGCCATGGGGTGCATGGATTGTCCGGTTTGCTGAGTCTGGCTGGGGTAGCCTGATGTGGTAAAGTGGTCAAAAGACGTTCTATAGAAAGGAATGGACGTACTTGTCTGTGCGTATCCTAACGGCGGCGAATTAGGAAGGTAACCAGTACCTGAGATGCTGGGCACCGTGGGCGCCAGGGTTTGTTGCAGTGGAGCCGTTGTCTGTGAACCTTGAGAACCCTGAGCTGCGTCAGTCTGGTGCGAGGTTTTATACATCTTGTAAGCGGCTTGCATGAGCTGTCCTGCATCATGCAGATAGTGCATGCCGCTGCTTTGATTGCTCTGGCCATTCGGCTGCTGTTGTGACTGAGATACATCAAATGTCTGCATAGATAACTGTCCTTGAAACTGGCTGAGGTCTACTCCATTCCCCGTAGTCTGATTAAACATATCGTATGTTTGGCCGGAGGAGTTCCCGGCGAACATCTGGTCTCCTTGAAAGTTTGTCGTAGGGTCGAATCCGCTCCCTATAATATCACCAGTGCCCATGTTGGAGTCGAGCAGACCATCTACGGGGTTTCCAAACGTCATTCCATTCATACCTCCAGTGATATCGTCAATAATATCACCGCCGCTAAGTGTCTCAGCGAGCACAGCCCCGCCGAGCAGACCAAGAACTGCGCCTCCTGCTAGACCTGCCGCAACATTTTTTCCAAGTCCCTTGCTAGATTGAACCGGTTGAGCAGGTGGAATTTGTGCACTTGCATGTTGCGGTGGCGGTGGCGGCGAGGCCTGTGATTGGAAGCTTTGACCCGGTGACTGGTAAGGAGCCTGTGCGTATCCTTGCGGTGTAGGGGATATAGCCGGAGATAGCTGCGGTCTGAATGCTGCGGGAAGCTGGAAGCTATGACGCGATGACTGGTAAGGTCCCTGTCCTTGTAGTGTAGGAGATACAGCCGGAGATAGCTGGGGTCTGAACTCTGCGGGAGGCTGGAAGCTTTGACGCGATGACTGGTAAGGAGCATGTCCTTGCAATGTAGGGGATACATTCGGAGATAGCTGAGGTCTGAACTCTGCAGGACGACTGCCAGTTGATGATGCAGAGAGTACTGATAGGCCCCGAGAACGCTGGGGAAGGGGAGGCGGAGGAAGAGGTGAAGGAGAAACTGCATAATGCATCTGCGAGGTTGTTCTGGCAGAAGCGGCAATAAAAGGTGGGGTACCTGCTGATAAAGGAGGGAATGTCGGCTCTGCCCTGACTTTTTGGGGAAGAGGTGGGCTAGATGGTTGGTGGCTGCTACCGGGTCGAGGAGGCAGGGAAGTTGTCGGTCGAACTTCAACCGCGTTCACATCGGACACCTTTGGGCTCAATGGAGGAGGTACAGGCATCGTGGGTGGAGGTGTAGAAGCTGTGATGGATGCTAGTGTAGAAACCACAGGTCTCCTCGGTTGAAGAGCAGACGGTGGTGCTGTAGAAAAAGTCTTCGCAGAGGTATCATTGCGTGGGGAGGCCGCCGAGGAGAGACGAGGATGCGGTATGTCCCGAGGACTGGTGTTATACCTAGGTTGCCTGTATGAAGGCACCTGTTCGGATAGTGTGCGAGATGACGATGAAGCTTCCATAGATGGGTACGATGATGACTTCTCAGAGAACTTAGGCATCGAGTCCTCTGCAGAGTAACCATACGATTTCTCTTTAACATCCTCAGGTACTTTCTCCATAGGGTATGACGCTACTTCTGGCATAGCCAGCGAGGTTCGCGGAGATCCAGAAAGAGGTTCCGGAGAAAGTGCACGAGGGATACCAACGAATGGGGGAGTATCTGCACCTACTGAAGGTACGACCCCAGATACAGAATCGGACTCGTGCGGTGTGGGCGAGGGTACATCAGGAGGTGCTAGCACGGTTGGTAATTCAGCGTGATACATGTTCGCCCTGGTCACATTGCACATGGATTGTGACTCGTGCGGTGTGGGCGACGGTACATCAGGAGGTGCCAGTACAATGGGTGATTCGGCATGATACGTGCTCGCCCTACTCACGTTGCTCATGGATTGTGACTCGTCGAAGTCTGGGGGAGGAGGTTCTTCGTCAACGAGGGAATATAATGGTACTTCCTCGGAACTGCCGACATCAAGACTCTCAGTCTGTATAGGTGCAGGCAATGGATCACTAGGTTGAGTCACGGACTCGGGGTTAGAAGTGATTGCAGTCACATGAGCTGAACCTCCTGAATAATCCTCTGAGTATGGGCCAAACTCCCCTGGGGGTGGCTCCGGTGGAGCTATGACATTGTTCACGCTCTCAGGCTGTGGAGGAATGTCTGATGACGTTGAGCTGCCTGGTATCACATGCGTTGTACTGGGCGGGCTCCTACAGCGCAACCCCGCCTGACTTGACCGTCGGAGGTCGCCAGCAGGCGATGGCGGAGGTCCATCGGGGAGTTCCGCTGGAACTGGGCTACGCCTACTGGGAGCTTCCAGACCGTGGGGTGCTTGAATGGGAATCAAGGAATGGACCACGGAGATGCTTGAAGCGGAACCTGTAGCTGACTGAGGGCGCCGAGCTCTTGGAGAATTGGTGCCTCGATCAGGTACCGGTGACTGAAGATCAAGTTTTGAGACACTGCTATGGTAGAAATCAAGAGGAGAAACAGTTTGAGGAGCGCTTGTGTGACCCGTATTCAACATGAGAGATGCTCTGGCACTATAAGGAGCACGCGGGCCAGCCGGAGCTCGGTTGACTGGAGATCCTCCAGGTCCAGAAGAGGAAGGCTGCCTGCTGGTGGGCTGCTGCTGGGTCTGAACTCGAGGCTGCTTGCTTAACGAGCTGGCATACAGGCGCTGGGCGTACGACTGACCGCGTGTAGACGCGGAAACGCCGATTGGAGACTGCAAATTTGGCCCTGGCTGTTGACCAGATGGTTTTTCTAGCTGCTGGCGCTCAATGGTGTATTGCAGAACATGTTGTCCAGAGACAACAGAGCGCGCATATGCTTGCGCAGGAGTGACCGGTGCTGCATAATTGCTGGAATTAGACGTAGCCCTGACAGTAGTTGGAGACTGGGGATTTATCTGAGTCTGTTGGTGGAGTGACCTTGATGGATTGTGATATTTAGAATTCCCCGCTGAGAGATGCTTTCAATTCACTCACCAATTAATGCCAGTCTGTGCAGAGGGCCCGTCTGCGGGCACGACACCATTGTAAAAACTCATTAGTGGGGAGCGATTAAAACTGCAGGATCAGGCAGACGACAAATTCATTGTGCTATATCATGGACACGGTGCAAGGTACATCAAGGTACCCACGTCGAATATAACGTACGGGTCCTTGTCTAGGCTTGTCTGTCAGCGTCTGTCAAATGGCATGTCAGGGCCTATGATGCGGCCATCTTGAAGGCTGTGATTAATCTGATGTCGGACCAACGTTAACATGTGCCAAGGGCTCAAACGTTTATTCTCGTACTGGTATCTGAAATCCTCCTAAAGTGGTGACCACCAGCATGGATCCCAGTGGACGACAGTAAACTGACAGTAGTAAAAGGCAACTCCTACCTCGCGCACACAACGAAGCTCCAGAAAATTACGGCACGACCAGGCACCCTGCCACCCTGCCGTAAATCAACAGTACTACGTGCTCTCGATGCATGATGGTGGTTAGGCCATCGGTCGGCGCAACTCGAAGCGACATTTATGGTGGAGCGTAAACTCTATAACTTTATTCATTCCGAAAGAGTAAAATCATTGGTTTTGATCCAATAGCTGCTGGTAACTAGTGACTATGTAGTCTCCCGACTCTCCCCTAAGACAAACCACCATGTAGAGAAATGAAAATATTAGCGTTCCTTCGTACTATCCCCGATACCACATATATACGAACTTCTCAACTCCGTGAACAGGTTATGTCCCACTCACCGGTACTACTAGAGAAGGAATAGATCCATGTAAGCATATAATAGGTCAATATGTAACCTGTATGATGGCGTTCATATGGCGCCACAAGGGACTTCCATTGCACAATCCAAGCTTCAAAGTACTATACACAAACACGAGTCCACCACACTAGGCGCCAAGAACCTGTATCATGCAATTGCGTTACCTAACCAAGTATGTCGTTTACCAGTCTCCTCCTCCACAATCACCACCGAAATCACCACCATTGTCGCCATTGTCGTAACCATTGTCGTATCCTGCTGGATGTTTAGCGATGTCTAGGATATACCAGCAGCGAGAGACTTACCTTGGTCATAGGCTTGATCTCTTACATTATCTTCATGATCCTCGAAGGCGTCCATGAGGAGAGCACCGCCTACTAGACCCGCACCGCCTGATCCGGGCATTAAGATTATCAGTGTCACACAGCGGGCCAAAACTTACCGGCCAGCAGAGCAGTGCCCATCCCCGGCCCGCTCTTCCGGGGAGCAGCCTGCTGCTGCGCATAAACAGGCTGTTGTGGCTGAGAAGACGTCCTGCCAAAGAAGCCTGGCAAAATGATTTAATACTCATCATTTACTGGATCACGGGCTCTTACCTCTGCCAGTGTTTTCCGCAGGTGGGTAGCTCTGGTAACCGCCATACCCACCAGGAGGCGCATTGCCGCCGTACCCACCTCCGTAGCCACCGTAAGAGGGCGCATAGCTACCTGGAGCGGGAGCCTGGTTGTAGCTGTCTTGATAAGGAGAGCGGCTGAAGTCACGATTGGGAGGTCCGGGGGGAGGGGTATATTGGGGTGGGCCAAGGGGATGTTCCCAAGACGATCGAGGAGGTCGTTCCATCTCATTCACATAAAACCTGTATTTCGGACAATTATTTATCGATAAGGAGGTGTCAAGAAGCCTGGCGGGAGCGTGATACATACCATGATTTGTAGCTATAGATTACGGTGATCAGGAGAGCTTCGAGGGATTATCAGATTGTAAAAGACGTACTCCCAGTTATATTGCGCGACCCAACCTCTCGGAAGAGGTCTTGAATCAGGATTCGGGGGAGGAGAAGACATGATGAAGAAAGTTGAAACAAAGACGATAGCGTTGGCAGGATTGCGGGTTGCTGTTTATATAGTGGTCAGCCGCTCTCGCACACTGGGTGACTTGTCACAGGTTTGCTGCGTTTATAGCAGTATACGTAAGCCCTACATGATGCTATGTACATCCGACCAATGGCCTGAAAAGAGGGTTCATTGAAGAATAGTATGTATAGTATTCAAAAGAATCAATAGCCATATGCTTGCTGACGATAAAATAGTAGAGTATATGTATCATACGAAGAAGATCAAAGATAACCAACGTAGAACCGATTCACGGAGGGGAACTCTTGTCATCATTTTCTGGACTTCTTTGCGGGAGGTGGGGGAGGAGCCTCATCCTCAGAAGAGCTATCAACTTCAGACTCGGACTCGGAGTCTTCATCCGTGGTCGCCTTGGCTTTGGCTTTCGGGGCCGGCTCATCGTCTGACGACTCTGCATCCGAGGCTTCAACTTCCGTCGGATCCTCTACCTCAGATCCTGAACTTTCAACCACCTCTTTAGATTTTGGAACCACCTTCTGATAAGCAACGTCAGTGAAGATCACAACTGGGACAAAAGAGCGTACAGGAACAGCGACCTTCTTGGTAGCTTTGGGAGCAGCCTTTGCAACCTCTTTCGTTGCGGGTTGTTCTGGCTCTTCTTGCTTCTTCTTTTTCTTCTTCTCGCTGTCCTTGGCCTCTGCAGGAACGTGGTCGGGGTTTTGGGCATTATAGGCAGCAAGGTCAACTTCGTGTTTCTTCTTAGCCCTTCCATGCTGATCACGGTAGAACTGATGATACGGATGAGCGATGACCAAGTACATACGCTTGAAAAACACGTACATCTTTCTTGTCTTCAGATAACGTCTTCCACTGGTCACCGATGAGCCTTAGCAGCTCCTTGTTAGACATGTCTGGATGTTCTTTCTTGTACGCAGAACGAATGTCATTTTGAAACAGGATGTAGGCGGAGGCGGGACCCTTTGGTGCATTTGGATCCTTGGCTCTCTTTTCGCGCTTCCTCTTTCTGGGGAGACCATCCTCACCGATCTCAAGCGCGACGAGCTTACGCTTACGCGACGGTTTGGCGATTGCGGCGTTCAGGAGTTCGGTGAGACTGTTAACAGTCGTTTCATCGATGGGTACTTCGGCGACAGCCTTGGAAAGCACCTCAGCAAGAGCACTGAACTGACGTGCGGCATTGTTAAACTTGATCGCGAGCTAAATAGGAGAACGCGTCGAGAGTGAGCAGACGCGATGATTAGAAGATGTATTAGAGAATACGGACCTGAGCCTTCTTCTCGTCAAGGTCAAGTTCTTCTTTTGGCTCTTTAGGTGGCATGATTATTAGGAAAGGAGGGTAATGAAAAAAGACAAGGGAAGGATTCAAATGTGAAAAATCAACAAGTTTGTTGACGCTTGTAAGTAATTATAAACTGTTGTTTGTTGACAGCTATTAGGATTCCTATTGGAACAATTGTAATCAATAGGAAAATCAGGTAATGAACTAAAGTTAAGCCCAAACCTGTAGCTCGGATAGCGACCCGTAGTCTAATGATAGTCAAGAGTCTTGATGCATCATTCCTTATCGTCTTGTTAGACCTACACGTGTAATAGAAGACAGTGTCGTGGTTCTCCTTGACATGTCCACTGCATAGACATTAATGACAACGTTGACCCGACCCTTATGACTTCTGCCGAGTCGCCGAGTTTGATTATTAAATCGGAGATTAAAAAAAGAAGATCATGTGGGTTGTTTGCAGTGGCGACCAAGCTGACACTCGCACCCTCAACTGAGCCAGGTCTCTCAGGCAGTTTGAGCCGTAGAAACGCACTGCAAAAAAAAGGTGATAGAAGGCTTGTATACCGTCTACATTTCTTTCCTGCTTTTCCTGCGTCTCGTTGCACAGAAATAAGCCGTTTAGTGTTGCCCAATAACGCTTGAGAACGAAGCAGCAGAAAAAGAAGAAAACAGTCCTTATGGATTTGTATTCGAATGCGCAAAACTGGACGCAGAATTTAACTGGAGGCTCTCCATCCACCGACGACTGGAAAGAACAGTCGTCTCCTGCAAATGGAGCAGGAGGTCCTCCTGGAACAACTGCGCAACAGCCAAGTCTCGATTTGAGCGACTATACGATAGGTGACCTCGCGGGTAAGCATCTCATTCATAAGCGCCCGTGTTCCAAACACGCTGTTGAGCGCCCTTGTATAAAAAATGTTTAAAAAAATGGTTATCAGGACCTTCAACGTCTTCATCCATCTCTCAACCACCTGCGTATTATGGCGGTCCATTCAATCCATTCTACTTATCTTCAGTTCCCGGTCCCTATAACGCCGTACCTTATGGTTCAATGTCCTGGACTAACCCACAAACCCACTTACCATTGTCGAATTATTCCACACTCAATGGTGCGACTTCTACGACCTCCTCTCAACAGTCCGCTTCTCAGCATCAATCGACCTCCGCACAGAACCAGCAGCCGATGATGATCGAGTGCGTTCCACCTCCTTCGTGTACTCATTTTATTCACACACTTGTTACAGTCCCGCATTGACAACTATGAATGGATCTGGATCGGAACCACCCCGACAATATACGCAGTCTCCAACTCATGCAGCTCAACCCACTCCCCAATCCCAACCACGACATCCATATCAATATCAGCATCCTACTTTATCCATTAATCCTGCCTATGTTCTTCCCGCACATTTTTATTCTTCGCATTTAACTCAGCATCAACCCACATCACAGTCTCAAGGCACTCTTTCGCCCCATGTTCTTCATTCACCTACTTCTACAATGATGGGACAATTATCTTCATTCTATGCACAATCGCCATCTACACCTTCAACTTCCACCGCGACCTCCACCACTGCTGCTCCCGCACAACCACCGACCATAAACATCCAGGCTCGAAAGGATAGTTTTGTCACTGACATCAAACCACTTTTGCAGCCCAACGCATTTGGTGGTGCACGTGCTATTAACAACCTTGTTAATCTCATTGACGACTTTGGTTCTGAGGAGGTCGAACCTGCCCTGCGAATGGAAATCCTCACCAAGATCCGCGATAACGCCGGCAATCATTATTTTCGGGCGTGGTCCGAAAATAACACCGCTATGGACATTACTCGGGAATGGCTAAAAGCTGCTGCCACAGCCAAGTCTGACACCCCTTTGGTTGACACTGTAATGCCGTTACTTCACGTATGTTACGCAAACTCAAGGCTGCAAGTCGCCTCTAATATCGTGCAAAGATCATCGACAGGTTACCGTTGTCAGTCGAGTCACTCAAGTCCTCAAAGTTAGGCAAGATCATCGTCAAGTTAGTCAAGGAGCCTCCAGCTCCAGGTGAGCGTTTGGTTTCGCAAATATCCACTCACGCGGTCTCCGTGAGAGACTCCGCGAACCGTGTACGATCTCGGCCTTGCAACCAAAGTTTGCGTGTCTGTCGTATTATTACTACTTGCTTGAGCGAACGAAAATTACATGTATCTAACTTTTGTTTGATTTCTGTGTTACCCAAATGTGCAGCGATCAAGGACATGGCATCGAACTTGGAACGGAGATGGCGACAATTGGTCGAAACTGCCCAAAAGCAGGCAGAAAATACTCAAACTGAGGGTGGGTCACGTCAGTTCGTTGCACCAGTGAACAAGCGCTCATCAACCCATGCCTTGCAGACTCGAAGCTTAAAAAGCGAAAGCCTGTCGAACAGCCATCAACGAAAGCGCCACCACCTGCGAAAAAGGCTGCTGTGGCGCCTACTGCCTCCGCGTCGAAGCCAACGGCGGTGAAGAAAGAGATGAAGCCTATTGTCGCCGTCAAAGATGCTCGTTCCGATTCCTCATTCTTTTCTGCGCCGAAACCGAAAGCCAAGTTACCAAGCTTCAAGAAAGCCCCGGCACCTGTCAAGAGGGAACCTGATCTCAATGTTGCGCAACCATCGTCGATTGATCCGTTCCAGGAGGCATTGAAGTCAATGGGTAAAGGGCGCAGAGACTCTCCAGTAACGCCCACACCGCCACCAGCTTCGATGTCGATTACGCCGCCCCTGGTGACTTCTGGAAGAACGAAGAGAAAATCTGTGACTTGGGCTCCTGATGGTCAACTAGAATCGATCCGGCTGATAGAACGGGCTGTGTATGACGATGACCCTGTTGATGTCAGCATTCTACTCTCGTTTTTTATATTGGCGTACAGTACTTATATTGATGTCACGAATACCTTTGTGTGTTTTGTTCACATAGGGCATTCATACTGCTCACAGTTTGCGCGATTTGGATCGGGGAGAAGGTGCTGCTCTACATGCTCCCCTATTCGAGGAAGTAATCGATTGGACGGACCCAATAAGTGAGCAAATTATCATTGTTATCATGAGTCACCACCAATTAATAAACACAATATGTAGCTCTCGAACTCGATCTCGAAGTATCCCAACGCGGACAGAATAGTGCGGAAAAGATGACTCAGGAGGAGCGTGAGCAAACAGCTTTGGGTGCACTATATATGTCGCCAGCACAGATACCTGACAGTCCTGGCGAGCCCACAACGACCATCGGTGATGACGAGATAGATGTGGACGTGAAGATCATGACAGTGGGGTCAGAGTGCGATAATTTCTTCTGGAGAGAAGCAGAATTGCCTCAGCCGAACGCCGCATCTGTTGCTGATCTCGTAGGTCAATTATCGGGAGGTTTTGATGCGATGAGTGCGCCCAGCAGCACGGGCGTCCAATCATTTGGCTTTGATCCCGCACTGCTTTCACAATTGCCTATTGCCCCAGAACAGGTGCAAGAATTGATGCAGCAGGCCCAGGCGCTGTTCAACCAGCACCCATCTGGAACCGGTATGCAAGCCCAATTTGGAGGCACAGATCAGAACTGGAATCCGAATGCTACCACTGGTGATTATGGTCGAGGATATGCTGACAACGGCAGTGCTCGCGGGCGATGGGCATCAGATAGGGGTCAGTTTCGCTGGTCGCGGACGTGGTCGAGGACGGGGAGAAGATGGGTCGTATAGAAGTAGTAAACGAAAACCATGCAGTTTTTTTGCAGAAGGAAGGCGAGCATCGAACATACCAAATTCTGGATCGTGGGACTAAAACTGATTTAACGTAATAACAGGTGCAGATATGGCGATCAGTGCGATTTTAGTCACGAACCTATTTTTTCATGATGCAGATGGGAAGGAGTTCAGAGAGATGGGCGGTAACATCATATACAGCATTGAGCATGTTTTGTGGACTAACATTTTTGATATCCAATACGACGGCATCTTGATGACGGTCTATCGCGTCAGTCAGCGTTGCAATGTTGAAACGTCGATACCCCAAGAACTCAGAAATCAAAGGAAGCTGAACACGCCGTGTGATGATACAGGGAGAGCTATAAATAAAAACAGATGTATGTAAGGCATTTCTACTTGACAATGAGCGTGGCAAGATACATCCCTAGCAAAGATAGAATACTATGTCGATATCGAAGCTGGTATATTCAGCATCATGCAATGCGACAAAACAATATGATCGCTCAGATCGATCGACGACGAAGCAACAAAAGAAATCCCGAATATATATTAAGCATCCGCTACCGTCTCTGGGTCAATTTTCGCGTCTTTTTTGATGGCTCGGCATTTGATTGAGAAGGCGAGTTGGTGTCGTTGGTCTTGCGTTTGAGGGTAGCCGAGGTCATTGAAGGCGTTGTCATGCCAGATTGGGAAGGTGTGGGTGCATTGGCTGGAGTTGAGGAGTTGGGGGGTGCCGCGCCAGATGCGGTCGGGGGTCTGGTCTGCTTTTGTGAGTTGTCAGCCGAAGGAGGGAGGTTTTGGGGGGAGTGCGCAGAGGGCCCAGGATGCGATACTGACGGGGATGAAGACATGCTGTGATACAATGTCACCGCTGGCGACGATGAGAGCCCATTCATGGCTTGAAAGGGGAGGAAGTGCCCATTTGAAAGAGGCATGCCCATGTAGGGACCCCCTTGAGATCCTTCTCGTAGCTTTTCCGCTAGCTTTTCAAGAGCATCTAACAATTCCAGAATGTCAGTAACCGTTCACTAAGAGTCTCAACAAGCAAACATTACCCATTGGTCCCAGTTTCGTTTCATTCGCGAATGCGATTAGATCGGTCATCTGACTAACACTTTCCGCCAACTACCGCGCCTCATATTCAGCAAAGAAAAACGCGCAGCCGAAAAGTACACACCTCCAGACATCGCATCGTGGCTTGCGGAATCCCAAATGCGTTCACAGGTTCTCCCGGTATCGACGCATGGTCGATCATAACTCTGGGTTCTTCCCATATCCTCTCATCATCCATCCTATGCATCACCGTCCCGTTCGGACTTGGCGTCGGTGCCGTCCTCACGCGTGGCGTCTTCGGCGACTCCGATTGCCTATGACCCATTACTGAATCTAATGCGATGAATTTTTCGTGAAGATTTGCATCGAATTGAAGGTGATCAAATTTGAGGGAATATGGCGGTGTTTGGGAGGGGGCGGTGTTTGGGTGAGGAATCAGAAGAACGTGGACTGTGAGCGGGCCCCGAAGTGTGACTGTGTACCCGTTGGTGTATCGGTATGTCCAAACAGCTGCAACACACTCCACTACCGCATGGTGTTGTGAGAGTAGCCGTTCTCTGGCACCATCTAGCGAGAGTGTCATGGATTTAACGCCAGATTGGGTGGTAACTAGAAAAAACCGAGGCAGTATGGGGACGCCGATCTCTGATGCCGGAAGGGATAAGTAAAGTGTAGATTTGAGAGCTTTACGACTGACCGAAAGGCTTCGCTTCATTCCGCTGGTTATCTTTCCATAAGGTAAATTTCATGATGGCCTTCGGAGTGAAGTAGTCTTTCACAACAGTTTCCCAGTGTGATAGCTGATGTTTCTACCGAGGATTCATGATTGAGGGATGATATTAATATGAAATGACGTACAGTGGGGTTTTCGGCTGAAAGGACACCGCTAAATTGGAGCAATCGAACAAGACCCTGGCCAAGACCAACGGGCATGGCCACCCTTTGGGAGAACATAAGTAGAGCCAAAATAAGCAATCTGAATCACACTTACACAGGGGAGGCGCGGATAGGAGGCTGGACCGTCGACTCCGAGGACGGCGCGGTCGTAACAGGAGGTGCAGCAGCACTCGTCGAAGACTGCGGCGGCCGTGGAGCTATTGGCTGCTGCCCCGGAGTTGCCTGCCGCTGTTGATGCGGTGACGTCTGCGCTTGTGTGATGGGGGGTATACGTGTAGGAGGTAGGAGACCGGTGGAGGATGAAGGCGGAAGCTGGGTATGCGAGGCCCGGGGTGTTTGCGACGGTCCAGCTTGTGATGGTGGCCTAACAGAGGGACCCTGCGGCTGCGAATGGGGTCTTGGAGGAGGTTGTGCATGACCTGCCATAGGATCGGGCTGATGCGGAGAGTGATGATGGGGAGGTGGGAGTTGTCGAGGTGGTATGGAAGGATGTGTACCGGACGTGGGATGAGATGGGGGACGAGGAGGGACGTTTACTTGGGTCGGCATGCTGAAATTAGCACTAAAATTGTTATCGGTGTGCTGCATCTCAAACTGCTGGGCAGGAGTGGGGAATCCAGAACGACCGCCTGGATTAGACATGACATCCGTCATGTTCTGCTGTATTTCCATGTCGCCCTGGATGGATGATGGCACAAAAGTGGTGAAGGAAGAGTTGGCGGCCGATATTCGATTACCTCCAGGCGTAAAGCCAGGGTTGAATTGGGGATTCTGGATACCCATGAATACTCCATCACCGGGATTTATTGGACGGGAACTGGGTGGTTGTGAAGGACCTGGTGTACCCATGATCATATTAGTGGCATGGCCTTGGGGCCCTCCAGGACGAGGGGAAGAGGAAGTGATTGGATGATGTGAGTGGGATGGAAAACCATTTGGTGGCATCGTTGTGGGAGTTCCGGCTTGAGGAAGAGTTGGTTGTGGTAGACTGTTCATCAACTGGGGTTGTGATGATTGAGTTCGCATTGGATTTTGACCTTGAGAGCGATTTAACAACTCTGGAGACATTGAGCCAGGAATTGAGCCGGGGATGCGAGACAACATTGGTTGAGCGGATGTTTGGCGTAAATGAGAAGGAATATTATTTTGTGGATTCATTGGAGGTATGCCAGGCATACTTGGTTGACCGGAATGGATTGCTTGGACGTGATTGACCTGATTGAGCGCCTGTGGATGAGAGGAGACTCTTCTGACCTGACCAAGATTGTTTCCAGCTTGAGGCATCATGTTACCCGAAAAAGCGATTGATTGAAGAGGGTGTTGAGAAATAGAGTTCATATGAGAATTAGCTTGTGAAGCTACTGCTGCGGTGTTCATCTGGACGTTCTGTGCCTGCTGCTGCTGCTGTTGATGCTGCTGCTGCTGCTGTTGTTGTTGTTGATGCTGCTGCATCTGGTGTAACTGCTGACGACGGCGCATGTCATATTGTGTCTGTTGCTGCATGCCGTTTTGGGGTTGTGAACCGGCTGCGAGTAAGTTCATTGCGTTAGTTGGCATGAGCGAGACGTGACTCGGAGGAGGCTGCTGCTGCTGCTGTGGCGGCTGTTGTTGAAAGTGAGGAGAGGGATTCATGGAGAGTTGTGCCATGCTCTGTGGTCGAAGCATGTCACCTTGTCGAACGTTCATGACGATCAAAGATATGTGAAGAGTAGAACGATGACGAGGGGGAGGACAACGACGAGCTCGACGAGTACGACGACAAGTACGACGAGGACGATGACGACGACAAAGTCGACTAGCTAAATTATTAATTGAGATGGTCGGAGGACGACAAGGGTCGACGTCGTCCAAGTTTGAATCTAGTCCAAGTACCTACCAAGACTCTCACACGCAGCCTTCGTTTACCACGTGCTTGACAGCACAATCACCGGAATCAAAATTTTATAAACACAGCATTCAACAGCACTCATGGTCCGTAAATTCAAGTATCATGAGCAGAAATTGCTCAAGAAAGTCGACTTTCTAAATGTATGTCTCATTCTGTATTCAATAAATCATTAACCAAAGACCATAAAAGTGGAAACAAGACGCAAATATTCGTGAGATCAAAGTCATTCGCAGGTACCATATCCAGGACAGAGAAGATTACCACAAGTAAGCTTCTAACTCCTCCGTCGATCATGTTATCATGAACATCATCACAGGTACAACAAGCTCTGCGGTGCTCTAAGATCATTCGCACACCGTCTATCCGTTCTACCGGCTCAAGACCCGTTTCGTACCCGCATGGAGTCACAGCTACTCTCTAAACTCTATGACATAGGCGTACTCAACTCCCAAGCAAAATTGAGCGACGTTGACAACAAGCTCACCGTCGCTGCATTTTGCAGGCGTCGCCTTGCCGTTTTCATGTGCATGAGCAAGATGGCAGAAACAGTCAGCGCAGTATGTCCAAACCTATTCAACTTTCACTCCCAACTCACTTCTTCAGGCTGCAAAATTTATCGAGCAGGGTCATGTCCGTGTTGGTCCTGATACTATTACCGATCCCGCTTTTCTTGTCACGAGGTGCGTTACAAAATTAATCTCGTTTGTGTATTCTCATCGCCTCTCAGACACATGGAAGACTTCGTCACTTGGGTCGACACTTCCAAGTTGAAGAGGACCATCATGAACTACAACGACGAGGTGAGCGATCGATTGCAAAATTCACATCCCTTTCTGACCATCTTCCAAAGCTCGACGATTACGATCTACTATGATCGCCCATCGACATGTTCACAGTCGATAATGTCGTCATGTGTGTTGCCTCCGTGTTGTCGGTTCCTGCGGACTTAACCTTAACTCGCTTACCTTCATCAGCCTATTCTCGGTGCCGCTCCCTTGACTGTCTTGACGGCAGGCACTCGAAGCATGTCATATTCAGACTGCCGACGACACAGCATAAAAGTCGTAACAACACTGCACTCGTTCACATATTCTCGTGATTGTGCTAGGGTTTGGACTCATTATAGGTCTTAATACGCTGTTATGAATAGACAGGGAGCTGCTTCTTTAACCATGTGTGGTTACTTGTTGTTCTTGCTACTGGAATTATCGATCATATCTTCGCTGCAATGGGAGCTGCCACTTGTACACGGGTCAACCCGAATATGAATTGCAATACATTCAGCAGGAAGATAATAATGGCTGTTAGGCGGCAACAGGGCCGTGAAGGAGGCAGGGGTACGCGCCATTTTGGACTATGTGTTTTCGTTGAATGCAACCTTGCCAAATCAAGCAGATCACTATGATTTCCGACAATCATTATCCGAGTAGTACTTCAAATCGGGGTCGCGCAGAACGTCGTCAAATGATCATATGGAGAGCAACAGTTCACCAAATGACGCGTGTGCTGTACTGCAGAGTATGAGTGGAACCCGTTCAAAAGACACATGCAAGTGGCTTATACAAGTTGGAGGATCCAGTAAGGAATTTATATATTTGCGACTAATGAGTGAATACATTACCTTGAATGATTGCGACATACTACGGGACTTATAATCTTCCTCCAATTCTCTTCACGTTCCCATACGGTCTCCACGCATCCCTGTATTCTCCACCTTCGCCATCTATGGTGGGTGCGCCGCCGTCTCGTGATAACCACAAAGCAAGGGCCGTTGTAAGGTGTAAAACCATAATACTGGATTCGTATACATGTTAAGGAAATGATGCTAGGGACGCGTGAGTTCGGACATCAATCGTTTTTGTGCCACTCTTGTCGACAAGGCGGGTCTCGTGACAGTGACAAAGTGAGGGCTGTTGCAAAATTGAACTTATTCGTCAGAGTGAAAAGCCTGTGGTATTATAGCTGAGCGTCAGGTCCATTTCATAATTTCTGAAGAGCGTATAACCGAGACCTAAAGTCGATCGCAAGTAAACCGAGCTACGGGTTCAGTCCGGATGCCGGTCGATTTTTAGCATCCTTGATGATTGGCATCAGTCGTGAATGAGTACTTGAGTCGAAGACGATGCTAGAGGACGTCGAGGCATCGATGGCTGTCGTTGAATCACTGAGTAGGTCAAAGTAGACCAAAATAGTATGTGATATAGACCATGGATTTTGTAATCCACACGTGAATTTGATCCCTGCTCAAACGCGTTAAACTACCGCCAGACCAATACCCTTCCTTTTATCTCAAATCTAGCTACAACTATCATTCTGCGACATTTCTCACTCATAGATCATTTTCTTGACGCAGGACTCGCAATTATTGGTTCAGAGCTCCTGCTTTATACTCCACTTTGACTATGGCCGAAGGAGACGGCAACATCAAAGTGGTGGTACGATGTAGACCCCTCAATTCTCGCGGTGCGTTTGTGAGGGATACGCATGCATCGTTCATACTCATCCCAATTCTCGCCTACAGAACTCGCACGAGGTGCCAAACCACTCATACGGATGCAGGGCAACCAGACTTTCCTCGACCCACCGGAACATGGTTCTCAGCAAGACTCCAAACGCGCTACGGAACGCAAGACGATGGCCTTTAGTTTTGATAGGAGTTATTGGTCTGCGGGACCACGAGATGAACCGGGGTACTGTTCGCAGCAGACTTTGTATGACGACCTGGGAAAGGAGTTGTTGGACCACGGATTTGCGGGATTTAATGCTTGTATTTTGGCTTGTGAGTGGTTTCTTTTTGGCTTGTTTTTTCAAGTGTGCTGATGCTACTTTGGTCTGGCAGATGGGCAGACTGGTATGCTTGCGTTTTATTTCGTTACTGGATATGACTCATGTGCCTTGACCAGGGTCTGGTAAATCATATAGGTGTGTTCAAAAATATTCTCTGGGTGTGTAATACTGACGATTGGTGTACAGTATGATGGGATGTGCGTATGATGAAACAAATGACTCGCATGTTACTTATGGAGATGATCACTAGATGGACCCGACAAGGGAATAATACCCTTGACATGTTCCGAGCTGTTTGTACGTGTAGAGGATAAGAAGGCTGCAGACCCCAATATCAGTTTCACTGTAGAGGTTTCCTACATTGAGGTACGCCGCATGCTTTGAATCCTAACATAATCTTTCACTTTATTTCACTCTTAGATCTATAACGAGAAAGTACGCGACCTCTTGAATCCAAAGAACACAGGAAACCTTCGAGTGCGCGAACATCCTAGCTTGGGTCCGTACGTAGAGGATCTATCGAAGCTAGTCGTGAACGGCTACCACGAGATGATGACACTCATGGACGAGGGCAATAAAGCGCGCACCGTCGCTGCCACGAACATGAACGAGACCTCTTCTCGGTCCCATGCAGTATTTACGCTGTTATTGACTATGAAAAGGCACGATGTAGACACGAATTTAGATACCGAGAAGGTGTCACGAATTAGGTGCGTCCCTTCGTGTTGCGATTTTCTGATAGGTGTTCATTGATTTGTATACTTGACGCGACGTAGTTTGGTTGACTTGGCAGGTTCTGAGCGGGCTAATTCGACAGGCGCCACTGGACAGCGTTTGAAGGAGGGAGCGAATATTAATAAATCGCTCACTACCCTTGGAAAAGTCATTTCTTCTCTTGCACTTGCGAGTCAGGATGGGGGGAAGAAGGGGAAGAAAGGAAAGGCTGAGGAATTTGTGCCTTACCGTGACTCAGTGCGTC